CTCCTTAGTATCTTAACAAACGTCGCAAGTTAATTGACACCAATCGAGCTCCTTAGTATCTTAACAAACGTCGCAAGTTAATTGACACCAATAGAGCTCCTTAGTATCTTAACAAACACTGCAAGTTAATTGACACCAATAGAGCTCCTTAGTATCTTAACAAATACTGCAAGTTAATTGACACCAATAGAGCTCCTTAGTATCTTAACAAACGTCGCAAGTTAATTGACACCAAAAGAGCTCCTTAGTATCTTAACAAACGTCGCAAGTTAATTGACACCAATAGAGCTCCTTAGTATCTTAACAAACACTGCAAGTTAATTGACACCAAAAGAGCTCCTTAGTATCTTAACAAACACTGCAAGTTAATTGACACCAATAGAGCTCCTTAGTATCTTAACAAACGTCGCAAGTTAATTGACACCAAAAGAGCTCCTTAGTATCTTAACAAACGTCGCAAGTTAATTGACACCAATAGAGCTCCTTAGTATCTTAACAAACGTCGCAAGTTTGTTAAGATACTAATTGACAAGTTAATTGACACCAAAAGAGCTCCTTAGTATCTTAACAAACGTCGCAAGTTTGATTAAGATCAAGTTAATTGACACCAATAGAGCTCCTTTATATCTTAACAAACACTGCAAGTTAATTGACACCAATAGAGCTCCTTAGTATCTTAACAAACGTCGCAAGTTAATTGACACCAATAGAGCTCCATAGCTGCCTCATCGCATTGGAGACCGTTACCTAGCAACCGAAGCCAAACATTTCCCCGGATGTTCCAGGTCCCTTGCAGAGGTGAGTCCCCACCAGAGAGTTATAATCCATGAGTTATTAGCTTGTTTAGTCTACACACCGTTAGCATGACCAGAGTCACCGCTCGCCTGTTGCTACCTTGTTTCAGCGTCGACGTGAAACGCAGCTGAATTCCGACGGTTCCATGTTTCTGTGAGGATGAGCGCAGGGCGGGTGTCTGAAGGAGCGGGCTGGTTCTCCTGGTGGGGCTTCAGTCCAGCCCGGAACCTGCTCAGTTTGGGTGAGAAGAAGCTGCGCCAGGATGTTTACATCTTTATTTAATAAACGAAAAGGATTATGGGTAGTGGAGCGGTTCCCGATGTGGGGTTCTACACCTCATAAAGGGTCATAAAGGGTCATAAAGGGTCAAATCAACAATATCATTTATTCATAACATATTACATCAAACATGACCATTATTTTGAATTAAACATTTTGCTACCATTGTTGCACCCCCTAAATTGCTGAAATTTGAAATAAAACTAAATATAAATGAATATCTTATCATGGGTCAACTTGTGTTTTGCTGTCTATCCAGGCCCGGTGAAATCTGATGGAGAAATGAATGTGCTGCTGGTCGGCAGCGGGGATCCCAGACATATTTTGAAGACTATCGCTGATTCTCCAGTCGAGCAAAACCTTCATGTGAGCCATTCAATGCAACAACACAAAATTTTACCAAGTAATTTTGTTTCAGTTTCACGTGCAACTATCTTAGTGCATTTACAATAAGATAAAAGGAAGTTACAACTGACTAATTACTTAGTAATTCCTGATAACAAATTGCTTAAGTGAAATCATCTACAAGTGGGACAAGTACTTATTTACTTATTTATTTAAAAGAAGCTCCTATTTCTTGCTGAAAAGTTACTTACAAGTTAGTTTTGTCTCATTTCAAGTGAACTAAAATATTTTCTCTAGAAAGTAGACAAAGACAATTGATAAGAGTTTATGTTTTTGCACTTTATTCCCTTAAGTTTCTGCATTAAACACAGATATCTGTGCAGATACGTGCAGCAGGAATCACACATGTTCTCCGTTCTGCAGATGTGGGTGATTGAAAGCAGCATGGATGTTGTGGCTCGGCAGCTGCTGCTCCTCTATGTTACGCTGATGCCACAGGAAAAGATGGGAATCAACGGTCAGAGCTGCTTTGAGGATGAGTTTCATTTTATTAAAGCCACTGCACTCTAAAATGTTCTGTGTTCAGAAAGGACTGAAGTTTTCCTGGAGCTTTTTGGAAACACGGAAATCCGGAGTCAGACAGAAGAGACGCTGCGGCGAGCAGCATCGCAACTCATTCTCTCTGTCACTGAAATAATGGAGGACCCCATAAATGCCTGCATGAACACAACTCTCCTGAAGGTGAACGGTGCAATTACTCATATCTTATTTCCAGTAAAGCCACTAAAACTGAATGTTTTTCCAGTTTAAAGAGCGGGATGAGCTAGCCAGGATATTCAAGCTGTGGATCCAGCAAACCTCACCTGTAGGTTCTTCTCCTGTCATCATGTCCAAAGCCTGGGATTATCGGGTCAGGCAGCATCTCGGTACCCGTTACGACTCCAAGAAGGGATGTTTCGACTGGGACCTCACCATGAAGCTGCATGAGAAAGGGGTGATGGAGAATATTTACACTTTATTGTTTATGTTGCCAAAAGAAAAAAACCCAGAACTGGTAATTTTAATGTTGAGAACTTCACTGCAAAAACACAAAATCCTATCAAGAATATTTCTTATTACAATTAAAATAAAACTTAATTAACTTACAAGTAACTTTTCAGCAAAAAATATGAGCTTGTTTTAAGTCAGTAATTGTTTAATATTGATCAAAAATATCATGGGATATTTTCCGATGTTATAAGTGAAACAATCTGTCAATCTAAGTAGTATTTTTCATCAAAATTAAGGAATTGTTGACTAAAACAAGCTTCTGTATCTTGCTGTAAATTTACTTGCGAGTTAGTTGTCGTATTTCAAATATACTAAGAAACTAAATTTGTGTTTTTCCAGTGATGAACTCTTTCTGGTTTTTCTCTAAGCAGTGTGGCGTCATCAGCAAACAGCAGTACGTGCAATGGAGAGAAAAAGGTTTGGCGTTCGAAATGAGGGAAGGAATCTACCAAACAACCAACCCCACTTTACTCTCCACAAGAGTTTTTAATAAGGTTTGTGCATATTTGTTTTTGGTGAACTGAAGAGCTTTGAAATTAAATAAACAATCTAAATTTTAGTTTGTTTTTGTCTCAGCAGAAAGGAGATAAAGTTGGCATTCAAGGCTACTGGGGAGACATCGTTTCCAGCCCTTATCTTTCCTTTGGTATTGAAAGTGACGACAAGAAGCTGCTGAAAACACAGAATGGGCAACACCTCAATGTAACACATTGCTTCAATTGTTGCCTTCACATTTTGTCACTTTGCAACCTTTCATTTCTTTTATTGGAATAAGAAGTAGATATATATTTGAAAGCAAACTCACAGTTGTATTTGGAGTGAAATGTAGTTTCAAATTTTTTAAATTAATACAAGTTTACAATCCATTTATAATTTTCTTTCAGTTTATATTAAATGTGCTCACATTCTGAAGAAGACAGCAGTTTTTTTATTTAGCATCTTATTGCCTCCACAGACGGCCCAGGAAATCTCTTTTGCAAACCTGCAGGAGTTGTTCCGGTCCCTGTCCAGCAGGCGGCGCCATCTCACTACTTCTCAAACAGACGCAGAGGCGGAGGAAGAGCCCACTCTGAGTCAGCAAGAATCACTTAATAGTAAAACATCAAATTATAACAGAGATATCTGAAACTGAAAATGTCAGAATGTACATCTAGGATAATATTTTTATAATCTTATATAGTTATGTTCTTTATTTCATTGGTTTTATCAATGCAAATCAACTCAGTACATTTTCTTTTACTCCTCTTCAGATTTAATGCACCTCAGTGGCGTCTCTGTCACATTTCTGCCTTTAGACTCTCTTCAAAAGCTGCCACAGAAGCAGAAATACCGCCACTACTTCAACTCTATTTACTTCTCTGCCAGGTGAGCATCACTAAACAACAACAGAATATTTATTTTGTGTCATCCTGAACGCCGGATATGGCTGCTGAGCAGGTTTCTATCTCTCTGTTTGTAAAGCTGCGTCCACCAGTTGGACCCCATGATGGGACAGATTGCTGCACCAGACGCTGTGCTTGTCGTGGAGATGGCCAAGTGAGGGTTTTTATAGTAACATGGCCTGTTACCATGGCAACTGCACTGTCACCAAGAGTACAGTGGCGGCTCTGTGCTTCGTTTTGCTTATTAACCAACACTGTGTGTGTGTGTGTGTGTGTGTGTGTGTGTGTGTGTGTGTGTGTGTGTGTGTGTGTGAGAACTCGGTTTTTATATCATTGTGGGTCCTATTTGTGTATACAATGCAGGGTTGTGGGGACCACTGCGTTTGTGGGGACATTTTCTTGGGAAATGCGTTTTTTGGGTTAAGGGTTAGTTTTAGGGCTAAGGTGTGAATTGACTTTTGATGTGTGTGATGGTTCGTGTTAGAGTTAGGGTTAGGCTGCAGAAAATTAATGGAAGTCAATGTCAAGTCCCCACCAGACATAAAAACAAGACTGTATGTGTGTGTGCACTTTTTAGGTACATTTTGGACCTGAACAAGGAGCAGGAAGCGGGCTTTGCAGAGACAGTGGTGAAATTGGCGCAAAAGGCAGGATTTGAGCCCTGGTGTGAGGGCGCCAGTGATGGCGGCAATGATGGCGCCCATGCAGTTTTTGTTCAGCAGAAGAAGTGAAGACGGTTTTTCTTCAGCACAGACCTGCAAGCTGCTTCTGATGCAACAACATAAAGTTTTTCTCATGTTTTATTAAATGAGCTTTTTGAGAGAAGTAGGATTATATAAGATTTTTCTTACTTCTACTTCTTTTCTCAAAACTTTTGTTCATATTAATGTATGACATGCCCATTTTAGGTTATAAATACAAAATAAATAAATTTTCTAGATAATTTTCATCATTATGTTTATTCCAATTTCTTCCAAAATGGCAGAATAAGTTAATTTTTGGAAAGTATCTGATTTTTCAGCTGCCTTAGTGGATTTTCAACCATCCAGAACTTTTTAAAACAAATTGTATGTTTATTGTTGTTAATGTATTTGCATATTTGAAATTTCAGTAGTGAATTCAGTTTCTATGAAAAAAACACTGTTTAATTGAAGCATGACTTTTATTAACTGAATGGGCAATTAAACTTGAAAAGCTGAACACAAGAAAAGTACTACAGCTCAAGCTGGGGAAAATCTCCTCCTTAGTTTTCATTGTGTAAATGTGGGAAATGTCACTTCCATCGGCCTCCAACCTTCCCCTTCCCATGGCCTTTCTTACTGCAATCAGACAAGAGAAGCATCAGTAAACAACAGAATATTGTTCACAACAATGTAAAAAACAAAATCTTACCACGTATTTTTGGTGCAGTGCAAAAATCTCAGTACACTTGAAATAAGACAAAACTAACTTACAAATAACTTTTCATTAATATATAGGAGTTGATGAAAACTTGCTATATCTTTTCTTCAAGATTTAGTTTATTTTTCCTTAATATTGACAAAAAAGAACTTGTTCACTAGTTGGTCATTTTTTGCTGATAAGTCATTTATGAGGATTTGTGTTTTTAATAGCAAAGTGAGTCTAACACAACACACTCCGTCAGTTGTCAGTGAGGGTTTAAAAAATAAATGTAGTTCTGCTATTTTCTGACATATTAGTGTATTAGTGATGTTGCTCCCTGTCTGCAAAGATGCGGTGACTAAAAGCTGTGTCTGAATCAAAGATGGCTGACTCACAATTTCTGAGCATGTTGGATTCTGTTCAGAAGGACGTTGATCTGAAAAACAAAGTGAAGTCAAGTGTCACAAGTTGGCTAATTTTTTTCATAAACAAGCTTTTTATTTTCTCACAGCAAAAAACAGAAACTCTTAGAAAGTATTTTTGGTCTAGTTTATAGTGTTAATACACTTAAAAATATCTAGTTGTGAATGGAATAATAGTAATATTAAGGAAATATCAAATTAAAATAAGCTTCTATATCCACTGAAAATGAACATTTGATTTGGTTTTGTCTCATTTCAAGATCTAAAATATTCACACCAGAAACTGGACCAAAAGTACTTTCTAAGATTTTGTGTTTTTACAGTGCTTAGATGAAAATTTACTTCATATTTCTGTTTCTTCATCTTCTCAGTGAGGTCAAACTTCTCTGATTCCAGCTGATGGATCCATTCCCACATCTCCTCGGCTCTCTCTCTGAAACACAGGGAGTTGAGCTGACAACCACCTGATTGCATTTGTAAATTATTTCCAGACTTTTCCAGACTCACTTTGCGCAAACAGTAAGTACAAAACTGGGTAAATGAATCACCTGAGGCCGTCTTCCTTCAGGCTCTCAATACTCAGTGGCTTCCGTCTCTCTGCCAGAGTCTTTTTCTTGATCTCTCTTGCTGTTTGTCTCTTTCCTCTTCTTTGTTCTTCCTGCAGGAAATACAATCTTTACTTCCAAAACTAGGTCTGGAATAATTAATCAAGCTAACATTAAGTTTCTGTAATGGTCGAGAGTTCATGAACTATCCCTAAAAAGCAAGACTTAATTAAATGTTCGCAACAATTTTTGATCAGAACAGGGGTCAGATATCCAGAATTAGGTTTTAAGCCTTCTACACTTTGCTAAAGTTACTTATTTACAAATATTATGAACACAAATGAATATATTGGAAAGAAAAAGCACACTTTGTGACAGACTGGCGACCTGTTCAGGATGTACCCCGCCTCTCGCCCGGAAAGTTAGCTGGAGATGGACACCAGCACCCAGTGTTAGAAAATGGATGTTTGGATGGAAACACACGCTGCAAACTCTCATGTCAGAAAGTGAAACTCATGATAAAGCTTAATTTCATATTCTTGAGTCACAAAAGGTCATTTCTAAAAAAAAATGTTCAGTGCTATATCCAAACATATTCTTGTGAATGTTTTCCTTCCACTAAATTTTCCTGTTTTTGTGTTAATTAGCTGATGAACATGTGACACCCAGAGTTTCCAATAATTTACTTTTCCACAATATTTTTTATTTTCTGAAACACTGGATTTTGTGCTCATAACCACAAAAATCACAATAAAATGTGACAATAAATATTGAATGTTGTTCTATTTACTGGTTGTGATTTTTCACATTCATTTGCTAAAAAGAAACAGAATCCCACTGACCTTTGCAAGGAATCCTCCAAAATGAGCGCCCATGTTGGAGAGCACTTTCTTCTTCTTGGCCTCATCGTCCGCTCTCTTCTTCGCTTCCTCGTCCTCTTTCCTCTGTCGTTCTTCCTGAAAGAGTTCATCTGAAACATTGTGCTCTACAGAGCAGATTTTTAAAATGATACCTGTAATTTTAGAATAATTTACTGCAATCCGTGTCTGTCTGTCTCGCTCTTTTTCAGCCCTCACACGCTGCTGCTCAGCTCTCTCTGCTCTCCTCCTCTCCTACATTAAAACACAGAATAACGCAGTCAGAGCAGGACGGAAAAGGATTAGAGCCACTGGAAAAAAATACAAAAGAAAAAACCTGGGTGTTTTTTTCAGAAAAAACCTGGGTGTTTTTTTCAGAATTCTAATTCTGCATCCATTTATGTCAAAATCCAAGTAAATAACCAAATATCCTTAAGTGTTTGTCAGTTTTTCTGTTATCCTATGAAAACAATACACAACCGTTTTTTTTCTTTTTATAGGATTTGTAAACCTGCAATTTATCCACACTGAAAGACCGTCTCAATTTTATTAGTTAGATTTGAGTTTAAAACTAAATTTGCCTCATGGTGCACAAACTATTTAAACAATTCTGATTCTGATAAAATTTTCAAAATTCTGATAAAAAAAGTCAGAATTTTTAGATTAGATACATAACTCTGAAAAAAGTTTGAGTTCTGACATTAAAAGTCAGAATGTTGAGGAAAAGTGTGAGAATTTTAAGACAAATGTCAGAATTATGGGATTAAAGTTGGAGTTCTGAGTAAAAAAAAAAGAGTTTTTTGTTTTCAGTGGCACTAATCTTCTTCCATACAGCAGTCATGCAGAATCCTTATTTGGGGGAAAAATCAGAGGAACTTTACAATTCTGTCTTTGAGTCCAATCAGCTCCTCTTCCTCTTTCTTCCTCTGCTCAAAGTGAACATCAATCAGAGTTTGCAGCTCCAGCAGATCCTTCTCCATCCTCTTCCTGTGGATATCCTGACAGCAGGAACACAAAGTCTCACTTACGATTGATTTGGACGCTTTTCTTAAGTTATAGCTGAAGGAACGTACGTCAAAGTCAACCCTCTCTCCTTCCGGGATTTTTGGCGGTGCGAGTTGTGTGACCACAGGCCTGAGCAAATATTACAACATATTAACACATATTTGCATTAAATATTCATGTTTTAGTTATTTGTGGGTAAAAGTGAACAGTATTTAACTTACTTGTATCTGGGGCGTTCTTCTTCGACACGGTTGCCAGAACAGCAGCAGAAATAATGAGTTGGGTTTGTTTTGATAAAATGCACCATGAAGTAAAAAATTAAGAAAATTTCAACAAAAAAAATCTGAAAATTTGAGATTAATCTCAGAAAAATAACATGGAAATTCCCAAGCTCAAAAAGTAAAAAAAGAAAAAAAAAAACGATTTCCAAAAGTGGAAACATTTAAACTTTTGGTGCTCAGAAATTTCTCAGTTTAATCATAAACTTTCAGTTTTTTCTTGCAGAAATGTAATTTTCGGAGATCAGAATTTTTTTTATGTTTTTTTCGGACATTTCTGAGATTAAAATTTCAGAATGTTTTGACAGAAATGTACTCTTTTGTTTTCTATCTAAACTGGCCCTAACATGCAATCACACTGAGAAAAAATAGAAATAAAAACTCAAAGTCATAGTATTATGAAAAAAGTAATAGTATTACACAAATAAAGTCAAAATATTATGAGAATGTAGTTGTAATAATAATAATACTACTACTAATAATAATGCACTTTATTGTTGGCACCTTTCTTATATTATTTTTACTTTCTTCGTGTGGACCTAATACTCTATTGTAATATAGTCTAGAGTTTCCTGTATTAAGAAGTTTAATAACAACCCTCTGATTTGTTCACAGCACCAGGCTCACCTTCCTCTCCCTGCTCCTCTTCATCATCTGCAGAAAAACACAGCAGCAGTAAAAAACGAGAGAAAACAATGTGCATTTATTTTAAAAAATGAGTGAATGTTCTTACCCTCCTGATGGCCTCTAGAGGCAAAGAAAAGACAATATCAGACAGGTCTTTAAAAAAAAACAGACTGTCGTGATATAAATATTGAACGTTGGATTTGATTGGCTCACCCATGTTCTTCTGGAAAAGACATGGCGACTGTGGAGAGAAAAACATAACAGACTGGTGCATCTTCAGTGCACAAAGGAGCGTTAACACAGATCCTTCCTCCCAGCAACAGTAATGTTAAACTCTAGATTCTTCACTAATGTTATCTGCAGCTTTTCCAGATTCTAGTAAATATCCTGCCACTGCAAAAACACAAAATATTACCAAGTGTATTTATAGTTAATTGTGCAAATATTTCAGTACATTTAAAGTAAAACTAAATTGACTTATCAGTAACTTTTAAGCAAGAAATAGGAGTTTTAGTTTCACTGGCAGATTACTTTAGCTATAACTAATAAAACACTATATAAGCCTGATATCATTTTATTTCATTTCACAGACCAGTTCTGTCAGGAGGAATTGAAACTTTATCTACGAGGACAATTAAAAGTAAATTTCAGTGCTGTCCTTCTGATTCATTACAACAAAAACACTTTTTTTAAAAAAATCCTATGAATTAATTTTCTCAAAGGGATTTTTAAAATTGCCTTTCTTGTTATTTTGGCAATTAGCAAACTGAAATAATTAAGATAAAACCTGAAAATTGGGATTTTAGTCTGATTAAATGTAGAAACCCAAAATAAAAAGGCTGTCTGGGTGGAGCCTGGAGGGACGAGGGGACAGAGACGTGTTGTTACCCTGCAGGGAAAGACTCGGAGACCAGCTGTTCTCCTTTTAATTTGATTTGGAAGAAAGAATCTGGGATGGAGACATTAAGCATTTTGGCTGGTTGCTATTTATACCCAAGTCCTCTGCAGTCGTCCCGTCTATTCTTTGCCTCAATTAACTGAAACTTTAACAAACTGCAGCCTAGACTGAAAACCGTTACCTCATCAGAGTTGATCAAACTAAGAGAAATTAAGAAACAAAGCAGACATCCGTCCCCTGAGACGTCCGTCTTTCAGAAACTTTTGTTCAGATTTTTCAGTTAATGTCTCAGATTGTGGATCTGAACTGGTTCGAGAGCCAGTGGAGGATTTGGAGAGGAATTCATGGCATTGTTACCAAACTGTCTGAAAGAGGACAGACGGACGGACAGGGAGTCCAAGGACACCAGAAATAAACCTGTTGGTCTGACGATCGGCATGCTTCATTTCAGACCCATCAGCGTTCACTTTAATTATTAAAAAGTGACAGCTAATCCTTTCACAATAAGAAATTAATCAGATAAATAAAATGTTTCCATTCTTTGTTTTTTTTTTACTAATTTTAGAACATTTTGCCAAATGTTCTTCCCAAAATAAAGTCTATTGGACTTTGAGAGGGTGAACCACTGTAGATATATTATTTGAAGATGATCTCATAACATTATTAACATTTATCACAATAATCACTGGGACAATTGATCATCCTAGTGAGAGCGAGCTCTATGCATCCCAAAATATTATGTTTTATTTTCCTCACTCATTTTTATTTTGTACACTTAAAATAAGACAGAACTAATTAGTTTAAATTACTTTAAATATGAACTTGTTTAAAGTAAATAATTCATACTGCTGAAAAAAGCACTAGCTATCAATGAAATAATCTGAAGTTTTTCATCAATATTAGGGAGTTATTGACTTAAAACAAGCTCTAATTTATTGCTGAAAAGTTACTTCTAAGGTAGTTTTGTCTTATTTAAATTTTACTGAATTATTTGAACCATAAACTAGACCACAAAGAGTTTAAAAGATTTTGCAATAAAAAAATGCATAAATACATATTTTTAAAACACTCTGATTGTTTTGCTATTTTAGAATGATTTCATTTTAAAAATGAAGAGCTGACGTACCTGGACAGTAACGGATGTTCACCGACGGCGATGAGTAAATAACTGTTGAAAATGAGGGTTTATAAAGGGAAATCCTCTGGGAATGTCGTGGATAATCTAATTATTCCAGCCCACTTCTGGGTCTCACCTCCCAGTAATCAGCCACATGAAAACATCCAATCGTTTGTCCTCACAAAACTATTTGTAACTGCGAGTAAATCCGCTCCTTAATTTGGAAAAGGCTGGGTGGGATGCGGATCACTGGTGGAGGGTTGGTGGCTGACCTCACTCCTGCGATGAGAGACGAAGGCAGGTGGCCGGCGCTCAGGCCGGCCGGTCTGGAGAGGCTGCAGCCAGACTGCTGGCCGTCCGCTCAGGTCTGGAGGGACTGGAGGAGAAAACACAAAAAAAACTGGGAAAGAGAGAGACAGCAACCTTTACAACCCGAGAGCCATTTTTACCAAACAAATTAAAACGACACTGCAAAAACAGAACACCAAGTATTAAGTCTAGTTTCTTGTGCAAAGATCTTCCTAGACTTGATACAATAAAATGACCAGTAACTTATTTTTATGAAAACATAGGATATTCATTGATTTATTTCAATTATCACAAGATAAATTTCTCTTGCTACAAGTTAAATAATCTGCCAGTGCAATTAGCACTTCTTTCTAAATAGATATTCAACAATTATCGACTCAAACAAGCTCCTATAAAAGTTATTTTTAAGTTAGTACTTAAAGCAAGACAAAACTCATTTATTTGCAGTAGAATTAAACCAAAAAGAGCTGGTAAGATTTTGTTTTTGCAGTGTAGGTTAGAGCCACGATGCAACTTTACTTTTAAAACAAAACATTAACACAATTGTAGAAAATTTGCGTAGATTTTTTATTATGCAATAAAAAAAAGCATATAATTTGCATTTTGGACAAAAAAAACCTTTATAAAATGAGTAATTATTAAACAGAGCGTGTAATTTTTATTTTGGAAATGTTATGCACATTTTGCAATAATAAACCTGGGAAAATTGAATCTATTTTTATTTTAAAACTCGTGATTTTACAGAATTTGAACCAGATGAATCTAAACGACACAATTTGAGGAATTCTGGGTAGAATCTACATGTTTTTTTATTTTAAGTACAAATATGTATATTTTTAGTTTTCTCAACAGATTTCCTTTGAGTCTTTTTATCCCAGTTAATTAATTGATTAATCATAGTTAATCATTTCAGTGACCCAGTAGGAAGAGACATCGAGTATCGTCAGCTTAAAAATTTGTCTAATATTCAGTTTTTATGATCAGCATGATGCTTCCTCTACCTTGTTTCTGCACACCTTGAATCCCAACAGAAATAAATTCAAAGCTTTTCTGTTTTCCTTAAGAATGTTTTAATGTTCCCTTAAAATGTTGCATTAAAAAGCATTACAATAGCAATAATAAAACGATGAGACAAAGTGATTTGTGTAAGGGTGAGAAGTCATTAAGTAACAGAAACCTGGAAATATAATTAACCTCTGATGGACATCTGGAGAGCAGCTCTGCTGCCTGATGTCACAATCCACCCATAAATACGTAGTTTGCATTATGGCACAAATTTAACATACATGTGAAAAACTAAAACAAACAGCAGTGAAAATGAAACAGATCTGTAATAGAAACTCATGGATAGCCCACCTGGAGATCATTTACTGTTTTTATATATGTATATATAAAAATCTGATTTACACAAACAGGAAGGAAGTCACAGACTTCTGAGCTTTTCAAAACAAAGGCTCCCACTTTGGCATGGTAGAAAATGACGTTTTCCCTTTCACTTTAAAACCTCACAAGCAAAACTTCTCACTCAGACCGGAGAAAGTCCAGCTTTTCTTCACAGAACAGAAAGTGAGACGGATTATTCCCTGCAGCGGAGCGACTTCAGGATCTTCTATCCCAGCGCTGGACGGGTTTGGATGAGAAACTGGCTTTTTATTTTAAATTATAAAGATAAACATTGAGTATTATATAGCTTCATTTTGTTAAACTAGTTGTGCACATTTATTTTCTCCACACACACAAAGTTACAGCCGCATCAATAAAAACATAATTTTCATCGTTCTACGCCATTCAAAGAAACTATTTAAACAAGAAAACCTAAAATCCTCCACCTGATGTTATAGGTCCCGCTGTGTGAAGAACAAATCAATGTTTTCACACGTTTTTCCCAGCATCCTTTGCGTCTACTTGTCTTTCTTGACCTCAGGTTTGCTCCGCTCCTTGTTGGGCTCCTTGTAGACGGGGTCCAGCAGCTGGAGCAGGTCGAGCATGGCTGCCCGGATCTTAGCGCCGAAGCCGTGGGCGTCCTGCAGGGGAGACGGCAATAAAACGAGACGGTCTGCTGTTCAAAATAATCGTCAACTCATTAAGGAATCAATTAATAATTGACTAATGAAAAAAAACCTCAGAACCATAATGAAATCTATAACTTCTGCATTTAACGTAAATAAATCCTCTATTTGTAAAAAAGGCTGAAAGTTCCTTGTAAGTTAGGAAACTCGAATTAAGACAAAACGAAGACACTCGTACTAAAAACTAAATAAAAATGCATGCGAAGAGGTTGTGCATTTCCAGGGCACAGACTAAATTAAATGAATGAAATAAATTTCGAGTTAAACTCACAGTTTCAGAACACGAGTGTTTACATGAGATGTGGAAATTAATCATGTTGTCGGCCAAAAACATGTAAGAAACTCCGTAACCATCATCAGCCACCTGAAAGAGACGGATCCCAGTTACACTCCGGATGAAAAACAACATTAATGCAGTGATAAAAGTTTAATAACCACAAGATAAAACACTGTTTGTAGATAGAAATTAAAAGGATTTCTGCCAAAAAAACGCTGCAAATTCGAGATTAACCCCAGACATTTTCTAGAAATAAAACTGAAAATTTCTGAGTTGGGGAAAAAAAAAAAAAAAGAGCTTAATCTCAGAAATTTCCAAAAAAATTTCTGGGTTTCAAGTGTGAAACAAAAACAACTTATAAATTTTCTGATTAATTTCAGGAATTTTCAAAAAACAATAAAAAGCCAGAAATTTTGACTTTGAAAAGTTAAAAATGTTCTTGAGAAAAACTCAAATTTTCAGCGTAATCTTGGGGAAAAAAAAAAAAAAAAAAAAAAAAACAAAGGTAGGAAATTTCTGGATTTCAAAATAAAAAAAATATTGAGATTATTCTCACGAATTTCCAGAAAAAGAAAATCTGAGATTTATGAGTTTGAAAAGTAAAATTAGTCCCCCCCCAAAAAAAATATATTAAAAAAATATCTAAAATTTTTGGTTTTTAAAATTGACAGTTTTTTCACTAAAATTTCTGAGACTAATCTCTATTTTAGTATTGCATTTTGTGTTTGTAAGCATTGAGGGCGATACTAACAGGCCCAAAGCCGCCTCCACAGGAGATGTACTCTGGGTAGTTAACCACGTCGAACAGCTCCGCCTGCTGGACGGGAGTCTGACTCGTCGACAGCCTCCACGGCTCAGACAGAACCTGAAACAGGCACAAACCCTGTTTTTAGTCGGCCTGGCCTTGGGGAGGGCCTTCTGGAGGAAAATGATTTAAACAGAGCAGAGACCTCTTTCAAGAAGGGAGATTCCACGCCGAGGTATTTGGAAACCACGTAGAGGCAAAACAAGTGGCGATCGATCCCGGCTCCGGTCATCGCCATTCGGTACAACTGTTGGTGCTTTTCTGACGCGGCGCGGAGCAAACGCCGGCACACGTCTGCTGGCTGATGACGTGTGTTAAAATAACAAAAACTGATTGGTTTACAAGAAACCTACCAAGCAGAGAAGCAGTTTTAGCATGAAGTCCCCACCTCTCCGCCTTCCAGCGCTCGAACGAAGGCGCTGCTCTCACTGGAGCAGGAGCGAACCGTCTCCGTCCTGCCCTCCCGGAACAGGCGGTCATGGACGCTTCGTACGTCAAACAGAACGTCCCTCGATCCTGGACAGGGAAACAAATCACAGCCACATTTTACTTAATCAGAACCTGTCCGGAAACATGAAGTGAGCAAAACAGTCTGGAAAGAGTCACAAAGCTCCTCCTGCTGTTTTCTTTGCTGTCAGGGTTTATTTAAATCAATCAAGTTTATTTTTAGAGCACATTTCAGCAACAGGGAAGTTGAAAGCGCTTTACATCATAAAAGCACTAAAATCAACACCTGAAACATTTAAATGTGTCTGTGTGTGTCGTCCTTCAGTGAGCGGCTCACCCTGAAGTAAGCCAGCTGAAGAGCCATCTGTACGAAACCATCAGGACTGATGCGGCACTTCTTTATCTTTCCTTTGCCGAATTCTCGGAAGGAGAAAACGTGGAAGTCGACGTCGTCAGCCAGCGCCTGGGCGACCGCCAGAGAGCGGGAGATCTGCTCCTCGCACTGAGACAGGAAACGGAGAGACGGTTAGCAAAAACAGCCGCGACTGCGGTTTCAACAGCCAGGCATTTCCATCTCAGGTCAACCTTAGTGAGTGAACCTTTGGACGGGAACCAATCAGAATCTGTGTCCAACTTTCATCTGATTTTAGCTGAATTCTAAAATCTACTCTGGAGAATTTTTAATTTCTCTTAATTACGAGAATCACAAAGTCGTATTTTTACTCCAACGTAAAAAACTAAAATGAGAAATGTTGAGCTTTACAGGTAATACTTAATAGAAATCACTTTAACTCACCTGCATCAAATAATTATGAGTAACTTGGATAACTGATTAGCTTTTTTCTCATGACAAGAAATTTTTATAATTTTAAGATTTTTTTATGGTAAAATTTCACCTTTTTTCTGCTAATATCCTGAATTCAACAATTCACAGATGATTGATATAAAATCCACTTTAGAAAATATTTCCTGTAATTTCTTTTTCAGAAAATAAATTAGGAAATTAAAAAAATAATTAAAATCATATATATATATATATATATAAAAAAAAAAAAAAAATTCCCTTCTCACCCACCGCGGGTTCTTATCCTCTGAGCTCGGGTCCTCTACCAGAGGCCTGGGAGCTTGAGGGTTCTGCGCAGTATCTTGGCTGTGCCAAGGACTGCACATTTCTGGACTGAGATGTCTGATGTTGTTCCTGGGATCTGTTGTAGCCACTGCTCCAGTTTGGGGTTACTGCCCCGAGGGCCCCGATGACCACAGGCACCACTGTGGTCTTCACCTTCCAGGCCCTCTCCAGTTCCTCCCTGAGGCCCTGGTATTTCTCTAGTTTCTCGTGCTCCTTTTTCCTGATGTTGCAATCACTTGGTATTGCTACATCTACCACAACGGCTTTCCTCTGATGTTTATCCACTACGACAATGTCTGGTTGGTTCGCCATTACCATTTTGTCTGTCTGGATCTGGAAGTCCCACAGGATCTTAGCTCTGGCGTTCTCCACCACCTTTGGGGGTGTTTCCCACTTTGATCTTGGGGTTTCCAGTCCATATTCTGCACAGATGTTTCTGTACACTATGCCTGCCACTTGGTTATGTCGCTCCATGTACGCTTTCCCTGCCAGTATCTTGCACCCTGCTGTGATGTGCTGGACTGTCTCAGGGGCCTCCTTGCACAACCTACACCTTGGGTCTTGTCTGGTGTGGTAGATCTGGGCCTCTATTGCTCTGGTGTTTAGGGCCTGTTCCTGGGCGGCCAGGATGAGGGCCTCTGTGCTGTCCTTGAGTCCAGCTTTTTCCAGCCATTGGTAGGATTTACTGATATCAGCCACTTGGGTTATTTGCTTGTGGTACATCCCATGTAGGGGTTTGTCCTCCCATGATGGTATCTCTGGCACCTCAACCTCCGTTCCCTGTTGTCTGAGACATTCACTGAGCACATTGTCTGTTGAGGCTTTGTCCCTGATGTATTTATGGATCTTAGTTGTTTCGTCCTGGACAGTGGTTCTCACACTCACTAGTCCTCTGCCTCCTTCCTTGCGGCTCGTGTACAGTCTCAGGTGCTGGATTTGGGATGGAACCCTCCATGCATTGTTAGTAGCTTTCTGGTCTTAATATCTGTGGCTTTTATCTCCTCCTTTGGCCAGCTAATTATTCCAGCAGGGTATCTGATTACTGGCAAGGCATAGCTGTTTATCGCACGGATTTTGTTCTTGCCATTGAGCTGGCTTCTCAGGACTTGCCTTATTCGTTGGAGGTATTTAGCTGTGGCTCCTTTCCTTGTGACCTCATCGAGGTTGCCATTTGCTTGTGGTATACCTAGGTACTTGTAACTGTCCTCTATGTCTGCTATTGTTTCTTCTGGGAGTGAGACCCCTTCTGTATGGATGACCTTCCCCCTCTTTGTGACCAGCCGACCACATTTCTTTAGTCCGAATGACATCCCAATGTCAGTGCTGTAGATCCTGGTGGTGTGGATCAGTGAGTCGATGTCTCGCTCACACTTGGCGTACAGCTTGATGTCATCCATGTAGAGTAGGTGACTGATATTGGCCCCATTTTTGAGTCGATATCCGTAGCCAGTCTTGTTGATAACTTGGCTGAGGGGGTTCAGGCCTACAGAGGACAGGGGGACAGAGCATCTCCTTGGTATATGCCACATTTGATGGACACTTGTGCAAGTGGTTTGCAGTTGGCTTCAAGGGTGGTTTTCCACAGCTTCATCGAGTTTGCAATGAAGGCTCTCAGAGTCCTGTTGATGTTATACATCTCTAAGCATTCAATGATCCAAGTATGCGGCATTGAGTCATAGGCTTTCTTGTAATCAATCCAAGCCATGCACAGGTTGGTGTGTCGGGTTTTGCAGTCTCGGGCAACTGTGCGGTCTACGAGGAGTTGGTGTTTGGCTCCTCTGCTATTTACACCGATACCCTTCTGTGCCGTGCTCATGTGTTTATCCATGTGTTTGCTTATCTTGGCCGCTATGATGCCTGACATGAGCTTCCAGGTTGTGGAGAGGCAGGTTATTGGTCGGTAGTTGGGTGGGACTGGACCCTTTGATGGATCCTTCTGGATTAGGATTGTCCGCCCTTCAGTTAACCATTCAGGGTGAGTCCCACTTTGTAGCAGCTGGTTCATTTGGGCTGCCATTCGCTCATGGAGAGCAGTGAGTTTCTTTAGCCAGTAGGCATGGATCATGTCAGGCCCTGGTGCTGTCCAGTTTTTCATACCTGAGACTCTTTCTTGGACATCTGTCACAGTGATGGTTACCGGGGCTTGCTCAGGGAGG